TGGTGTTATTCCATCACCAATTCTCTGACACCAATTGAATGTCCTACAATTCAACCCAGTTCTGACACTACCCTGAGTTAAAAGGGCACATAAGAAAAGGCAAAGTCATGGACAAGGCTCCGCCCTCTTCAGAGGCCAGCTACAGGTGTGAACTCCTGGCCATTTGCACTTCTGACCAGCTTGACTGTAAATTTGGGGGCTCCCACAACCTCCCTTTCAGTTTCTATAATTCCCTAGAATAACTCACCGAACTCACCGAAAGCGCTATAACTGCAATTGCAGTTTTATTAGAAAAGATCCAACTCAGGAATAGCCAGACAAAAGCAGGGTAGGGTCTGGGGGTTGAGGGCGTGGTGCAGAGCTTCCACGCCCCCATCCAGCCCAGCAATGTGCTCACCAACCAGGAAGCTCCCCCTGGCCTCACTGTCCAGGGTTCTTTAAAGGGGGTGTGCATTATTACCAGGCACAACTGATTCAATCATTTGCCACTTGATTGAATGCAATCCCCAGCCCCTCTCCCCTCCTCCCTCTGTGGTTGGGATGCGGGTGAAGTTTCAACCCTCTAATCATGTGCTTGGTCTTTCTCAGTGGCCAGTCCCTCCCTTGAAATATCTAAGTGCCCACCATAAGTCACCACATTTGCATAAAAACTCAGACTTTGTGAAGGCGGCTCACGATGACCAGGAAAAGACACTCCTAATGTCTTTTGGACGTTTTAGAAATCCCATGTGTTTTTGAAGCTCTGTGCCAGGAACTGGGGCCAGAGTCCCCTTCTATTCTTTATGACACCGCACCTGGCCTCACAAGCGCCGGTATCCTGTGGTCTTTAGCACCCTGCTTACCCCTTTTCTTTTGTGATCTCCCAGTTGACATGTTCCCGCTATCTGGTCACAGAACGAGGCATTCTCGTCAGTCTCTTTCTGGCTTTTCTTTTTGTCAATATAGTTCAAGATTGAATTAGTTTGGGGACTAAAACATATAATTACAGTTACTTGGTGTGTGCCTGTTTACAATTGAATCATAAGCCTCTCATTACTCGAGTTCCTCATGCTACGATGATTCTAGCCCCTAAATGACACATAATAAGAGCAAATGCTAACAGCACTTGCTATGCACCAGGAACTTTTTGAACTATTTCACATACATCAACTCACCCAATCCTCACAACAACCTAAAGAGAAGTTAAAAAGTTGCAATCCCTGTTTACTATATGGGGAAACTGAGTTACAGAGAGGTTAGGTAACTTGCCCAAGATCACACAGCTAATAAGGGGCATAGCTAAGATTTGAACTCATGGTCTGGTTCCAGAGTCCTTGGTTTTAACCACTAAGCTGTGCTGCACTCAACTTTGACCACCTCCCAACATTTTGGGAAGGGAAAGAAGGAGCACAGAAGAATGCCTTTGGTTCACAAAACCCAAGAGTTTGCCCAGGCCCCAGCTGTCGTGGTGAGGGAGTCAGGGCTTCCATTTTCTACCCCCTCCCCCACTGGAGCACCTCTGGAGCAGCCCTGTGGGGCTGGGCTCTGATGAGTGAAGGCAGGCCTGGAGGTTCCTGTCCGTCGGGCCTGGAAGGTCTTCGTTCCTCATGCTTCGTGGGCCAGAGCTGCTTCAGAGACTTCACAGCCTGGAAGTGCAGCAACTCCAAAGGGAAGAGAGAGGACCAGCTTTTTCCTGCCTGGATGAAAAGGATTTAGTCCAGGAGGGTTCAGTACCAGGCTGTGCTGGTCCCAGAGAAGCTGACAGCTCAGGTGGTTCTGGAGCTAGCGGGATTTGGCGTTGTGAGGGGCACAGGGATCTCCACGCCCACATCCAGTGTATCCATTGGGGGGTTGCTTGTTGCTATTTTAAAAATAACATCAAAGATTCGGAGGTGTGAAGGTGCCCAAGAGAATTAAAGGGGACGGATGCAGGGGGGCGATGCCTCTGGAAGAATTTTGGTCTGCAGCGGTGTCTTCGCAGAAGAATCTGGGTGGTGACCCCATGTCTGCATGGCTCTGATGCATTCCCATTATGTTTGACCTTGCGGTCTCTTCTCTCTTCCCAAGTTCCAGAGATGAGGCTGTTCGGCAGCATGATGGGGGTGAAGTATTCTTAACTCATCCCATGTGCATGGCATTGACTTGAAACCACAAGGTAACAGTCAGTAGGTCATATGTGCTCTTTGCAGATGTTTCTCTTTCAGCATTTGGCTTGAGGAAGAGGAACTGGGGAGATGCAGGACGAAGGTCTCTTGCTCCAGGAAACCCAGATCCTCCATCCTTCTACCTTTTCTACATGAGTCTGTCTCTCTCCATATAGTGTCAGAACTGGAAGGGGCCCCAGAGGTCCATTCTGTCCACTCCCCAATTTAGGGATGGACAAAGTGACACCCAAAGAGGGAAATTACTCGCCCAAGTCCATGAACTAGAGAATGTCAGAACTGGGGCAACATTTCAGATGCTGACTTTAGTCCAGAGCTAATTCAACCAGAAACATCCCTGATGGACTCAATCACTCTTCACTTAGATGAAGAATCTGCCTTTACATGTCATTAAGCACAACCTCAAACATTTTAGCAACCTGCCAAATATGTCTCAAAATATTTCCTTAGAGACCATTGGTTTGTTCGTTTGTTTTTGGCTGCGACTCCAAGGCGACTCCTTCTTGCCTTCTCCATCCTCCATCCCATCGACACGGCTGGTAAGGGCGGTGCTAACTGGGGGAGATCTGGTGAGGGCTTTCACAAGGAGCTGACTAATTAGCGACGGAATTAAGATCAGACGTCATGGTTTTGTAAACTTGTAAAAGCAGGTGGTGGTGGCACTTGGAGCCCTCTTGCTGCCCCAGGTCAAGTGTGTGGTGGCAGCCGGTGAATACAGTGGGAGGAGGAGGCCTGGACAGCCATGGGAGGCAGTGCCCGATACTAGCGTTAGAGGCTTTGTGCCACCTTGGCAGTCTTGCTAGAAACGGCCAGCACCTGGAATGGATGCCTTCTGTTTCATGATACAGCAACTGACATCTAGCCAGTGGTATTTCAACCCGGCTGCCCATTAGAATCACCCAGAGAACTTTTAAAAATCCTGATGATCAGGTCACACCCTGGACTAATAATATTAGAATCTCTGATATCAGTATTTTTCAAAGTTCTCCAGGTGATTCCAACGTGCACCCAAGATTGAGATCCCTGCTCCAGGCCAAGGGTTCAGAGCTTCAGCTGACCCTCGAAGGACCTTGTCCATGTGTCCTCCCTTGAACTTGTTACTTGCCTTCCCCAAAGGAGAATGCAAATAATAATAATAAAATCAATCAATCAATCACCTGAGTGTTCTGGGCTGATGGAATGGACTCCCATTTCTCATGCCCACCCCACTCAGAGGAACTATAAGGTGGAGGGTAAAGTGCTGACAGAAGATGGAAGAAGAGATCACAGACAGCTCATGGACAACAAGAATATGCTTTCCTGGTTGTCAGCAAGGCCTCTTTCGTAATGAGCTGTTGGCTGGAATGAAGGCTAAGGCTTGGGCTAACAGGATCAGCTGAGGGGTCGGAGCAGATCAGATCTGGGGAGGCCAGCAGCTGCTCTGAGAGAACAAGAGAGGCTCCACCTCCTTCTGGAATGGGAGACCCCAGAGGCAAAGTGAGGGAGGGTCAGGTTAAGGATGAAAGCCAGGTGCCCTGACCCCAGGTAAAGCTCTTTCGTTGGTATCTCCGTACTTGTGTTCAAAAACTAATTATTGTTCAGTCAAGGCACTTGCCTTCTTTTGCTGAGAAGGGGCTCAGCCAACTGGGAGAAGGCTGAAGCTCTGTAAGCCTCCACCCGCTCTGGATGTTGAAGGGGCACAACCCAGATTTGAGGGCCTAGCAGTGCTGATACAAAGGGAGACTGTCATGGCCAGAGTCTCACAGCTGGGAAGCAGAGGCTGAATGGCAGCCTCCTTCTTAAGAAGGGCTCCAATACGGCCATAGAAGCCATTCCTTCATTCATCGTTCAGGTATTTAAAAAAGCCTGCGTGAGTAGAAAAAATATGTGGCTTTTCCCCAGACCAACTTTCCAAACACTGCCCTAACCCTCCCTCCAGGGACCAGGTCAAGATATACGGGCCTCTGGGCAGCCCGGCAATGTGGTGCCCTTCAAATGGTGTTTATTCTTTTTTTTTTTTTTGCGGTACGCAGGCCTCTCACTGTTGTGGCCTCTCCCGTTGCGGAGCACAGGCTCCAGATGCGCAGGCTCAGCGGCCATGGCTCACGGGCCCAGCTGCTCCGCGGCACGTGGGATCTTCCCGGACCGGGGCACGAACCCGTGTCCCCTGCATCGGCAGGCAGACTCTCAACCGCTGCGCCACCAGGGAAGCCCGGTGTTTATTCTTTTACTGTTTCTCAATATTTATTTACTGGAGTTTAGGAGAAACTTATTTTCCATTAATAAAAATTGCACACCTCTTTTAAACTTGGAATAAGAATCTGATTCTCCAGTGAGACATGTTTTACAGACACCGATTCAGCAATAATTCTTTTCCAGAGACAAGAGCAAAGTCAAAGTTGTGAAGCAAAGCTCAAAGCTCAAAGCTTTTCCTGCCTTTTAGAAGTTACCCGTTCTCTTGTCAGTTTTGTGGATTTTCCACCGAATGTTTTTAGGAGGCTTCTTAGAGGGTTTACATTTTAGATCAAGTACGAATTCCCAGTGAATAGCTTTACACTGTGTAGATAAGCATCACAAGATGCCCCCAGCGGTTTGCAGGTCGTGCTCGCACTGGAGGACCCGGCTACTTGAACCCGGGTGTGGCCGCCGAAGCCGGGCGGGTCAGGCAGGGAAGGGCGGGGGACCCCGAGCCGGGGCCACATTTTCACTTCGTTGGACGCCCTACAGGCCGGCCGCCGCGGCGCCCAGCACTCCAACCCGCGGCCCCGCTTACACCCTCCAGGGAAGAGCCGCCTCGCACCGCGAATCTCCCCGAATCCAAGCCCTCTGCCTTAGGAAGCGCGTACCCCGACTGGGAGTACCCTCCTTTTTCCTCTGCAGGGTTCCGGGGGTGGATCGGAAACCCACCAGGACAATGAGTGAAGAGCCTGTCCCCGAGGCCGCCTCCCCGCCGTCCGCGCAGGGCCAGCAGTATTTCGATCGTTTCTCCGAGGACGACCCCGAGTACCTGCGCCTCCGCAGCCGTGCAGCGGACCTGCGGCAGGACTTCAACCTGATGGAGAAGAAAAAGCGTGTCACCATGATCCTGCAGAGCCCGGTGAGCGGGGTCTGCCCCGGCGGGGCGGGGGAGGAGAAAGGAGGCCGCAGGGGCTGTGGCGAGGCGGGATGCGGGGGACGCTGATTCAGCCGGTGAACCTGAAAGATAAATAACTCCGCTTCCGCTGGCTCAGGGTCGGAGCAATTTTCAGCTCTCCGAGCAAGATGCTCTGGCAACGTGGGTGTGTGAGTCTCTCCCTAGTCACTGGCGGAGGGCAAAACCTGGTTTATATGCAGTGGTTTGGCTCGGTGCCTGGAGGAGGTGGGTCTGAGAGGCAGGGGCCCCACCTCAGTTTCGTGTGCCCCTTCTTGGGCCTCACTTTCCAGTCTTCTTTCGCTCTTCACCGAAAGCTGTAACAATTCGAGTAAACCAGGGGCCACCGCGGGGCACCACGTGGGAGGTTTGGGGCTCCCTTTTCTGAACGCCACAAAGAACTCCGTCCTGGCAAATAAGGCTTTGAAAACCCCAGGAGGTGGGGGAGTGGAGGGCACAGCGGGCAAGACCGGGTCACCCAGCCGTGGCCGGAGTCTGGAGGTCAGCTGGCGCCTGCCTGGCGAGGACACAGAGCTCTTCCTTGAGGCAGGTGGTGCGTTGAGGATGGAGGGTGGAGGGTGGGCCTACTGGACCAGTGAAGCAGGAGGGTGGTGCAGGCCCTCGGAGTGGGAGGAAGAGCAGTGTGGACAGCGGCAAGGGGGAGTCTCAGGGCAGTAAAGCTGGGGGGTCCGCGGGCAACAGTGCATGATCCTAAGTGTTGGGAAGCTCAGGGGTGGCGGTGGCATCTCCAGGTACTTGCCAGGATGAGATCTGCCTCAGCCACTACCCGGCTTTTCTGAGACCCTGGTTGAGAGCACACTGTGAATGCTCGGGCCTCACAGAGGAGTGCCAAGGGGGATGGGCCCGAGGTCTTGGTGACAGGTGACACCATGTTGGGGAGTCGGGAGGAAAATGGCAGCTGCTAAAAACGTTGGCATGACAGAAACTCTGAGGGAGACTAGAAGGGATGGCGGGTGTGGTAGGAGAAGTGGCAGAGTTAGTACCAGCCCAAGTTTGGGGGCCTGAAGGATGGGACTCTATTCTCAGGCAGGAGATGGGGACAGGAGGAGGTCATGCTTCTTCTGTCCTTTTGTAGATTCCCTACCACCTAAGTGGCTCCCTATTTCCTCCTGAGTGTTCCCTGCTGCCACCTGGTGGACAGGCATGCCCTCTTTGTGGCCTGATGGTCTGAAAAGCCAGGCTTAGAGTAGCAGGACATCAGAAGTGGAAGTGACCTCTGAGGTCATCAAATCCTGAATGTGAAGAAACTGAGGCCCAGAAGAGCCATCGGCCTGGCTAACGGACAGGAAAGATGGCATACTTTTTCATTCAATTCTGCTTTTTAAAAAGTCTTTTAATTACTGAAGTGAAGTCCTGCCGTGTCTGATGGGTGGGCAGGGGAGGGGGTCTAGGCTATCCCTGAGACACAGGAAGGACCTGGAGTCTGGAGTATTGCCCATGAGGCAAGGGAACAGGATTCATTCCCAGCATCTCCTTATTGCTCCCCACACAGCAGTCTGGGGAGGCTCCTGAGGTCCCAGTGGGACTGCCCGGTGCCCCCTGGGACCCAGATATCCCACATGTGGTCCTGGCCTAGCTGACCCAAGGGCTAAGGGTGGGCACTTGGGAGAGGGGCCCTCTGTCTCCCACATGAGGCACACTGGGGGGACCAGCGCCTCGGGGGCCTGCTTCAGTCTTTCAGGGAGGAGCTGGAAGGCCTCATCCAGGAGCAGATGAAGAAGGGGAACAACTCCTCCAACATCTGGGCCCTGCGGCAGATCGCGGACTTCATGGCCAGCACCTCCCATGCAGTCTTCCCAACATCTTCCATGAGTACGTGGGGAGCTGGGGAGCTGCCAGGAGCAGAGGTGGAGGAAGTGGGGGAGGGGAAGGTGCAGTCAGAAGCGGCTTGGTTGCCGCCAGCCTATGCAGTGAGTGCTGCAGCTGCATTAACAGACCTGGGGGAGCTGGGCCGCAGCCAGAGAGATACCTGCCTCTGCTTCTGATGCTGCTGAGATTTAAAGACCCCAGGAGGATTACCCCTGATGCCCAGAAATCGAGGGCAGGGGGTGGTGGAGAACCTAGTTTGGGTTCTGCTGGGGGCGGGCGGAGGATGACACAGTGTCACTGCAATGAGAGGCAGGGCGGCCTATGTATGATCCCTCCACCCCCACCCCTCGTAAGCGGATTAGCATGGAGGGAAGAGCTTTGCAACTCAAGGTCCCTTGTACAGCCGCTGCTTGAGGCCCAGGAGTGGACAGTGGAGAGTTAGGATTCTGCTCTCTGTTACTCGAGCTATGGGCACAGAACCTAAGAAACTCCTTGTGTCCTCACAGCATCCAACCCTAAGGCTGATCTTCCTTCAATCCCCTGGCGTCACTCCCTTAGAGATGGAGTTGGGGGCGGGGGCAGATGGGAGGCCATTGGAGCCATTGTCTCCTCACCCCACTGGACAGGCCAACCTGACTCCGTAGACAAGGGCCAAGAGCAGCCAGGGCTAGGCACGAACCCACCTTCCTTGGCTCTGAAGCTCTGCCCACAACCTTTAAGAAACACACATCGAAAAATACTTCCCCTCAGCAAGATGAATATAGGATTATAGTTGAAAATTAGGAAAATAGTTGAGAAAGGGTAATAAAAATTACTGTATTGTGTTCTTACAACCAAGAAATTACTATTATCAATATTCTGGTGTATATCCTTCCAGCCTGTTTCTCTTAACGTATACAGATTATGCCAAAAAAAGTGGAATCGCATTATACATACAAATTTAATAGCCTTAGCATATCTTGACTAATTGTTCACATAATAAAATATGGTTCTAAAGCATAATTTTTGGTGGATGTATACTCTTCTGTACATGGCTGAATATGCCACAGTTTATTTAATCAGTTTCCCATTTTTGGACTTTTAGGTGGTTTCCAACCTTTTGCTATTATGAATGACAATGCAATAAACATCCTTGTAAATAAATCTGAGATTATATCCATGACTATTTTCTTAAGATAAATTACTAGAAGTAGAATTGCTAGACTGAATTATACGCATGTTTTAAAGGCAGCAATGCATAATGCCAAATTACCCTGGAGAAAGATGGAATGAATTTACATTCCTACCAGAAATGCAAGAGTACCCATTTCCTCCACCCTGATCTGTCGTCTGTGTTACCATTTGTTTCATCCTCATGATATGATGGGTGATGAATAGTACTTTGTGTTTTAATCTGCATTTATTTGATTACTATAGAGATCGAATATATTTTCATATACATATTGGGCATGATTTTCTTTTTGTACTAAGTTGCCTGTCACATCCTTTGCCAATTTTTCTACTTGCATATTCTTTTCTTACAGATTTAAAAATCATAAAGTAAGGCTAGTTCCCTGCTATCTGTCAAATACATTGCAGACTTTTTTTCCAGTGTCTCCTTTGCCTTTTAATTTTGTTCATATTTTTGTGTTGTAGAATTCTTTAATTTCCATGTAGTTGAATCCATTATGATTTTCCTTTGTGTTTTCTGCTTTTGATTGCATACTTAGAAACACCTTCCCTATGTTTTATCATCCAATAAAATACCCTTAATTATTCATTTGCCAGTTTTTCTCAACCATTGTTTAAGCTGATTCTTTAAAATAACTTTAGAAGTATTTTGTCACGTGTCTCCATCCACCTCAAAAAATTCCTTTTGGGATTTTGATTGGGATTACATTAAATGAATAGATTAATTTGGTGGAGAATTTATAAATGTACAACTTTATATTAGAATGTAGACTCCATGGCGGGGAGGATATATGTATGTTTTGTTCACCGTTAGAGTAGTGTCCTGGACTTAGAAAAGTAGCACCTGGCATATAACAGGTGCTTAAAAACTATGTGCATAAATGAATTTTAAATCTTTTCAGAAATGATGTGTGTCTTCTATTTATTTAAATCTTTTTAAATGTCCATCAGAAAAGCTAGTAGTTATTTTCTTATAGTCCTTTACTAATTTCTTGTTAAGTTTATCCTGGAAATTTTATGTAACTTTGTCATTTTAAGTGATTCTCCATTCAAATTTTTTTCTGGTTATAGCTGCCATCTAGGGAAATCGTTGGAGATATATGTATTTATATATTATTTAAACTAGCCGCTTACTGGACTCTTAAATTCTAGTATGTTCTCAATTCTTTTGGGCTTTGTATATAGAAGAATCACATAATCTGCAAATAATGGTTATTTTGCATCCTTCAATCCAACATTTACCCTTTGGTTTATTTTTCCAGTTTTCTCATTGCATCCGTTAGAACTCTCAGAACAATGTTTAATAATAGATGAGAGAGTAATCATCTTTGTCTTGTTTCTGACTTCAGTGGAAATTTTTTTACCACAAGAGTTTGAGATAGTTATTCTTTATCATGTTGAGAAAATATCTTTGTATTCTAGTTCAATATGGACTTTTCTCAGAAATGGATATTGAATTTTATAAAATGCATTTTGGACATTTATTGATTTTTCTTTCCTTGATGTGGTGAATTATATTAATAGATTTCTGAATATTGAACTCTTTTTTTCATTCCTGAAATAAATCATTCATGGTTTTGATGCATTCTTCTTTTTTTTTTTTTTTTTTTTTTTTTTTTTGTTTTTTGGGG